ACACCACAGTTCACAGTAAAATCAACACCAAAGGCGAAGGGAAGGAATCCGACGCAGAAATCACAATGTAGAAGTACCCCGCGGGCTTTTTTTTTTTTTTTTTTTTTTTAAGAAATTCCTCTTGGCTCTAGCTCCTACCATTCTGGGAATCTACAGTCCGGTTCCTGTTCCCCCGGCAAGTCAATTTGGAATACATGAGCGCTTCACGCACGCTCCTCCCTCCCGAGTATGGCTGGGAGGCCCGAGTGGACGGCATTAATTACTTCCCTGAGGAAGGATGTATTATTGATTACTTGCCTGAGGAAGGATGTATGACCCCTCGCGCCGGCCTAATTTAGCCTTTGCTACTTAATTTTTCAAGATGTTGCCCGACTGTCTGGCCACAATCCTGTTCCTGTCTGTTGAGCTGTTGTTGAGCTGATGTAATAGACTATAGGTGTCTGGTGCCTGTGAGGTCCTCCTGGAATCTCTATCGCGTTTAGTTCTGCTTATCTTCAAGTTGTTTCTGTCTAGACCCTAAACCCTAAACCCTAAGCCCTCGGCTGTGTATATCGTGATATTGTGTGGTTGAAGGGGTTGGTCTCAAGTCTAGGTGTCGCTTGGCTGGGGGTTGTTTGGATTTTTTTTTTTTTTTTTTTTTTTTTTTGTTGAGAAGGATAGATTTATTTCCAAATGATAAAGACGGAGGCCGGGAAAACCTCCACATGACAACCCGGAGGAAAAACTGGGGCCATTACCCAGCTTAGGCTAAGCTGGAAACCGGGTCCAGCGTCCCATAAAACCACCTTCCCTTTAAGCAACAGATTCGCAGATGGACTAATCAAGTAAAAACAAAAAATAATGAAGACAGAGAGGAGGTAAAAACTACCCTGGGGCCTAGGTACTCCTAAGCCAGCTGGCCACCGTCATTTTCCCATCCGCTCTCAGGGAGGCAAAGGAGCCCTTGCAGGCCCAGGTCTTACTGAACCAAATGAAATTTTTGGAACTCCAGTCTGACATTATCGTGGTCCGGAGGTCCGAAAGTATTCTGTTACAGATGTGATGCCTGACATGGTTTTCCCCTTTGAACAAGAGGGCATTCCTTGCCCACCAGATGGCCGCCATGGTTATCCCCCTGCAGGTGGATAAGATGTAGTTCTTTCCACTCGTGAGTGGGTCTTCATTGTCGGCTAGGCCCTGAATGATAAAATTGTCGGACCAGTCTGAGTTGTTTCCGTCCAGAAGTCTCCATCTGTCCTTCCACCATTCCCAGATCTCCGATGACTTGGGACAGTACAGCCAGAGGTGGGCTGCTGATTCCCAGGCCCAGTTACATCTACAGCAAGTGTCCGGTATGGAGAGACCCCTGGCTTTTAGCCAGACTGCAGTTGCAGTGATGTTCATGGATTGCAACCACATAATCGTGGCATTGCGTTGAGATGGGATTCTCTTCAGGCCCTTCCAGAATTTGCACAGGTCTCCGTCCTTTGGAAGGGTTATCTGTAAGGCAGTTGCTTTTCTCTTTAAGGTTGACAGTGGTTTCTTTTTCTTTGTAGCTCGCAGGCATTTAGCCCCTGTCTTGGGTTTGTAGCTGAGTAACGGTACCGCCTGAGGACCTTTTCCATTGTTGGATTGGGTGGCCCAGGGTGCCCAGCCTTGAATGAGGGGTTCCACTTCCAGAGTGGTAGCCTCGACTGGGATCAGTGTACACAGTGTACTTTTGGCGGATGGGGTCTCATGCACCCTCACTTCCTCCCACTGTGATGTCGGGGAGATCACCCCCTCCTCGCTGAGAGTCAGGGGTCCCCCCGTATGGCCCCTTATGGGGAGGATCCACTTCTGGGCCTTTGTTGCGTGCCTCAGATCCGGTCCCATTATTTTCCAGAATGTACTGTTTTCTGAGGGGTCCTGTAACCATGTGCCTAGGGCCCAGTCATAGTCTGGTCTGAGGGCTGCTACCCAGTGAGGGGGAATAGCCCTCTTGAGCTTACTAAAGTTCAGATCCAGATTGTGGAGCCGTGGGGCTTTTGACCGTAATAAATCCAGGGTGATCCAGTCCCCAGTCAGAGGGTCCCATATGTCCTTGATCTGGATGAGCCCTTTCTCGATCCATGATCTGCCGAATGCACCAGGCGTGGTATCCGCCAGTAGGGGTCCACCCTGCAGGGTCCTGATGCAGTCGTTTTCAAATAGAATCTCATTTAGTATCTGAGAGCGAGAGACTGGCTCAGCAATCCGGCTTGGTCTGACCTTGTTCCAGGCAGCAGTGATGTTTTTCCAGACCTTTGATCTTATCTGCCTGTTACAGTATGATTTAATAAAGAAACACAGCCACACGTGGGAGTGGTGAGTGAGTTCCCACTCCTCCATCAGGATAAACACGGCCAATGCTTTGCAGCATTTGTTCTCAG